CCGCCGTCCCCCTCACCCCGTGACCCCACCCATCCCTATGGCAACACAGGAGCTCTGGGACCTGTTTTTCCCCAGACCTTTATTCTTCGTTGACTGCCAAGCTCTCCCACAGAGTGCTCACTATCAGCTCCAACTTCTCTCAGGTGTGTCCCCTTCTTAGTGAACAACGCTGCCTTCTTCATAGATGGCTTCACAACCTCCCTTATCTTTTGGGGCTTTTCCCTGCAAATCCCCCCACCCCCCTGGCTCAACTTCCAGCTATTGAGTCTCCTCAGTGTCCTTTCCACAGGCTGGGTGAGATGAATGAGGCCGAGCTGGGCCAGTGGAGGACAGGATTCTGTCTTTATGTGAAATTTTGATATTTTATCATGCATTTTTTTATATTGTTTGAAAACATGATTTCTCTTCAATACTGAGTTTTAGGGTTTCCCTTGAATTTTATGCCCGAGATGAGTGCCTTGATCGCTTCACCCTAGTTCTCCCCTGCTTTTTCAACCATCCTTTCCTATTTCCTGTGTGGCAGCCCTTGGTCACCAGCCTCCATTTCCTGCTCTGATCCATTCTACAGCTGGACCCAGCATTTTTCTTCCTGGAGTATAGGCTGAGAGGTGCCTCTCTCTCCCTCAACATTCCTGAAAGCCATCTGTACCCTGTAGAGCCCAAACCCCACCATGTTCACTGGGCTCCATGTTCTGGGTCCTGCTAACCTTTCTGGCTTCATCCCTCTGTTTTACGTTGATCTGTCTTCTTCAGAGAAGTCTGTTTCCCAGCCACATTGCCTCTGCGCTGCTATTCTTCTACTGGAGCCTCTCTCCCTTCTCTTCAATATGGAGTCTGGTTGGACCTTCAAGGATCAGTTTCCACAACCCCTCTTAGAGCGTCCCAAGGGGAACCTGTCACTCTCGCAGTGTTTTGACTGTGCTCCAACCTCAGAACATATGCACTCTGGCTTCTATTTCCCTTACCTGTCACTCTGCCCCTGCTAGCCTCCGTTGGGGCGGCTGTGAGCACCTTGAATGCAGAGTCCGTGCAGTGTTCCCCATCACCAGGGCTGGACAACAGCACTGCCAAGTTATTCTCTGTCACCAGCTGGTGTCTATACTTCAACAGATACTCCGGTTATCTCCTTCATGGCCTCTGTAATGGAGCTGCCCTCTGCCTGATGATGTCCCAGTGATGCCTCAGACTTGCTTTGAAAATGGAATCCTGTTCTCAAATGGCTCCCAATCTCGTAGGACTGTACACTCTAAACACCTACCGCTGAGGGCAACAGACGTGACGTGCCCATGATCAATCCACAGGACATCTCAACAACCCTTTATTTAACAGCCTCTCACCCTCTGAGGTCCTCCACATGAAGCTGGAATGGGGAGGGGCCATTAGAACCCATTCCCTGCTCTAAGCAGATGCCCGTGAGTGGGGCCAGCAGTGGGGACAGGAACAGGTGCCCTCACTGCCCAGTACCAATCCCAACCCAACCCTGTGCAGACAAAAGAAGGGAAGGGCCTTCTTTTTTTTTTTTTTT